GAGTGGTATTTTATTACATAATACTTATTTTTTAATTGTAAGTTTTATTATTATTACAAAAATATTAAATATTATTACAATATTATTACAAAAATATTACAATATTACAATATAATATTATTTAATAATTTAATATTAAAAAAAAAGGCATTTTTTTGGAGTGAATTAGAATCATTTCAAAGAGGATATGCAAGTGCAAATATACAAAAAAGACAATTTAAACATTTATTAATATTTATAACTTGTAGTATTTTATGGATTGGATTAGAAATTACAATGTCAATTTTAGTATTTATTAAATGTTATCCAGATTTATATTCACCAAATATGAATACAATATGGTTTACATGGATTGTTAGAGTTGAACATTGTTTAAATGCATTTTTATCATTTTCATTAATTATTTGGTTTTTATTTTACTCAATTTGGAAAAGAAAATCAATGTGGAATTTATCATTTGTTGAAGGTTTAAAAATTTATAAAAGAAATTCATTCACTACTAATGGAAGACCAACACAAATAATAACACAAAATACTACCACCACACAATTAGCAGCAGTAACAACAGTACCACAACAACAACAACAACAACAAATAACAACATTCAATAATAATAATAGATATAAAGAGAATGAAAATAATATTGAATATAATTTATCATCACAATCTTCATATAATTATAGAAATGGTCCAAAATTAATGAATAGAATTGAATCAACTAGCAAATGGTTATTTTATTCAATGATTATTTGTATAATGGTTTATTTATTACAATCAATTTCACAATTAATATTTACTGAAATTTATATTTCATTATATGGAAATGGACTTTTAATTTTATATGATTCTTATATTATTGTAATTGGATTTATTAATTCTCTATCAGATTTTACACCATTTTTAATGTGTTATATATTTCATAAATCTAATCAAATTATACGTGATATTGTTAGAGATGAAAATGATTTAACACATTACACTGATTCAACTTTGAGTACACACAATAATTATTATCATAATTATCATAATTATCATAATGGAAATATTGGTGTTGGAGGTGCTATTATTGATGGTGGTATTGATGGTGGTATTGGAGGTGGTATAGAATCTGATTTGGATGAACAGAGTGAAGCAAGTTCATTAATCATGTCTCCACCATTACATAGTGGTGGTGGTGGTCTATTGAATGATCAACAATATATTATTACCTCCTCTCCTTATTCACATAATAATAATAATAATAATAATAGAAATAGTCGTTCTAATAGTAATGCAATTCAAAGAGAACGAGCTAATAGTAATCAAAGTAATAATAGTAGTAGTAGAAGTAGAGCCAATAGTATGGATTATCCCTATCAACAACAACAAACTTCCATAATGATGATGAATAGTAATGGTGCTATAGGTGGTATTGGTAGTGGTAGTAGTGGTAATGGCAGTGGTAATAATCAAAAGAGAGGTTTCTTCTCAAAATTATTCAAATCAGGAATTGAAGAAGATACAATGCTTATTAGTGTACCCTATGAGAATAGGTTATAACCTAATATATTTACATAACATTCTACCATCAAAATACTGTTAGTAGCAGTAGTAGAATATTAAATAGGAAGATTTAGAGTTAATTTATTGAAAACTAGGTATTGGTGTTTCTCCAATCAAAACAAATATTGAAATAAATTAGTATAAAGAACAAGTACATGATTATTATAACACTGTATTCACAATATGTTGAGTTTAAAAAATGAAACGAAATCTTAATATACTACTACTATTAAGAATGAAAGACAAAAGTATTTCGCATTAAATTTTATGATGTCATTAGTATCAATAGTTTAAATGGAATAGAGTTTGAATATTTAAAGGTATTGTTCATTCTCAAAATAATAGAACTTTAAATATTTGTAACATACATTTTGGGGTTGTGAGCATTCAAATAATATTAAATATCCAATAAATATAAAATTTACAAAACATTTTAGAAATGATAGAAAAATTGTATTAACTCTAAAAAAGGATAAAGAAATTGTTTGGAATGTGTGTAACAAAATGCCAATTCATTTCAATAAAGACAAAGAATAATTAATAATAAAAAATTTATTAATTTTTATTAATATATTGATCACAGTGTAATGCCCAATCTTGTCTTTGTAAATTTAAAAATATTTTTCTGTTCAAGTTCAGAAATACCTTGTGAATTTTCCTGTAATCCAATTTTAGAAATACCTGTAAAATATTTCATATAGGCTAATTCAAATTGAGCTTCTTCTGAATCTTTTTTAATCCATTCAGGCATTACAGATTCAGCTAATTGATCTAATTTAGTAAATGTTTGATCAGCTAATTTTAAATGACCTTGAAAGAATCTACATGAACCCATCATATTTTCTAATTTAAAAACACATTCCATATATGTTTGTGTATCTGTTTCATTCTTTTTTCTTCTTAAAATATTATAAACTCTTGAAATGGTTGATTGTTGAAATGGATAAAAACCTTTTCTTTCATATGCTCTTGCTAAATATGAACCTGAAATTGTAATTAATTGTGCTTCATATAAATCTAAAAATAATTCAATACCAATTAAAGCTTTTTCACCTAAAATAACAGAAAAATCAACCTTATTAGTTTCTAAATATAATCTACTTAATAATAATGCAGTTTTAGTTGTTTGTGGTGACATCCATCCATAAAAACCTTCACTAATTGAAAGTGATTTTTCAAAATTTTGAACAGCCTTTCCAGTTTCACCTCTATTTAAATAATATTCACCCAATTCATGAAATGCTAAAGATGCTTCTAATCCATTCTTCCATGTTACTTTAGGTCCAATTTCTTGTATAGCTTTATTATGTAATTCAAATCCTTGATCATTTAATCCCATACTATTTAAAATTGAAGCCTTTACAATTTTCATTTGTGGAATTTCTTCAATTCCTTCTTTTGAATTTAATGCACTAGTAATTTTAATAACTGCTTGTTCATATTCTCCAATTATTTGTAATACACATGCAATCTTCCATTCTAATTTATATAATGGTAATATTAATTCTTCTTTTTTTTCAATCAATTTTAAATGTTCAATACTAATTGAAATTAATTTTAATACATTCTCTTTAATTAATTCTGATTGAATTGGATGATTAGATTTTGTTAATTGATTATATATTCTAATCAATGATTGTTATGATGATGATGTTATTATATGTTGTAATGATGTTATGTTGTTATGATTGTTATGAATTATTATTTTGATGATGTTATGTTGTTATGATGATGAATAATAATAATATTAAATATATTAATAATTAAAATAATTAAATAATAATAATAATAACATACTGTTCATATCTTTTTTGAATAGTAATATAATCACCTGATGAAAAAGATTCATTATTAGCTTGAATAATAGAAGTAATTCCTTGTAACATGGATTGTTCTAATTGATTTAAAGGTTTACTTGTTGATGATTCATTATTATTATTATTAACAATAAGACTTGTTGTATAATTGCAAGGCTTTAGGTTATTATTCATCATAAATAAATTTAATGATGATGATGAGACATGTAATGATGATGACGGAGTAGTAAATAAATGTTTCAATGATGAAGAACCTCTGATTGGTACATTCTTAAAACCTTTGACGGAATGAAGAACGGAACGATTTAATGAGAGCAAACCTTTCATTTTTTTTCAAAAAGTACTTTAAAATAATTGTCTAATTTTAGTAATTTTTAATATTCTACATTAATAATACAATTAAATAACTTAATAAATTATATTATTAGAATTAGTACTAGTTCAGAAGAAATGTATCTATCAAATAATCTAATAGGTTTAAGACTTCACTTTCCAGTGAGATAATTAATAATAACTAGTTTGTGGAACAATTTAACACAAAATGTTTAGATTACTGTTTAATTCACTTTCAAGAGCGCTACATGATTCAAATAACTTTGTCACCAATTGTGTCTTTGTTCACATAATATACTTGAACTTTTCTATTTCCAATAGTGAATCTGGTTCCAAGTCAGCATCATTTCCCATCAGTGACATCTTGATATTAAGCTATCATTCCTGGAGTAAATTTATTCTTTTCACAATAGATGATCCATTTTAATATCCATGTTAATTTTGAATACATGCAATAAAAATTATTCAATTGTAGTTAATTGTTTTCTACTTGACTGTGTGTTCGATACAGTAGGAATATTAGAATAGTGTGATTTTCTGTTTATACTACGAATTAATATTAGCAGAATTATTCTAAGCATTTTATTGCTGCTAAGACTGGGATCACTAATACATGTCCATTTATATTGAAGATCAAATAATAGTAGAAGGAAATGCAGTTGGTAACTAACTGATGTACAATTAATATAGTACGTAACGAAGAAGTTCCAGTGTTTGGATGTAATATAACTTATCTTAAGTGTACACTGAATCACCACTCCTGAGTTACTCTAAGTACAATGTAAATAAATTCCTCTATTTATTATAACTGTATTAAATGCTGTTACAATAGAACATTCACACAATTGGTTCGGTAGACATTTGCTCAAACAGGAATTTGGAAATAACCTAAGTACTTATGCAATGTACCTGGTTTTGGGATTGTGTATTTTTCTTATTCACTGTTTGTTTCAGCATGTGTTCATATCCATTTCAATAGAACAACATCATTTCTACATATTTTGACCACCTTAATGAGAAAGCATAAAATATTGAGCTTACGTGCCAAATCATTGAAAGATGATATTTATGAAAACATTTTAATTTCCCCAAATCTTGACAAGTTGAAGTAAACGTGCTGTAATCTGTGATAATTTATTTCAAGATGTGCTGCTTTACTAATAATACTCTAATCTTAATGCCTAGCTACACAGACCACTGCAATTCAACTTGTTCTTCTTCTTGAATGAACGACTCAGTATGCATTCTCTTATTTTGAATAATAATAACAATCAAAATGATAATGAGAATGAGTGGAATTATTCCAAGAAATCCTAAAAAACCAAGTTCAGCATTAGATTGCTTTCGTTTCATGATTTGAGAAGGCAAGTTATTAGATGATTCTGGAATGGTTAAAAATTCAACCTTTTGAATAATAACTTCTTGAATAGTAACAGATTGTGCTTTTGAAGAACATTTACATTTGTAAATATTTCTATCTGAAAGTTCTGTATCACATTGAGAGAATTCACTTTGACAAATAACTTGTGAAGTTGTACTTATCTTTTTCATTGAAGTTGAATTAAATTCTTCTTCAATTGTAGAAGAATTTACAATTTTTTCAAATTGAAAATAATAAGAAATTAAGTTATTTGAAATTGAAATATTTTGATTTACAATTTCTGAATAAAGAGAATGATTAGCACTTCTTATAGTTGTTTGAATGATGGTTGAGTTATCATTTACAATTAAAGTTTCATTCAATGTATTATAATAAATAGGTTTCATAATTAATCTTGAATAAACAACTTTTCTAAAATCAAAATTATTAAAATAACTTAATGATGGATATTCTAAATATTTAAATCCATGATATTCAAATTTACTTTCAGATAAATCACTTGGATACATTTTTAAAGAAATAACTAATGTCAAATCATTTTCAAAAATTACAGAACTTTTCACAAATTGACTTCTTTCTCTCAAAATCAATAAATCAGATAAACAATTCATAGTTTCATCATAAAATTTGTTATTAATTGATAAATCTATTGATAATCTTGCTTTTACAATTAAAGAGAAAACATTTGACATTGTATTTACCAAATTTTCAGATAAAATTAAATGTGTTAATTTCACTCCATCTTTCAATTGATTTTTAAAAATTATAAAAATTCTATTCAACATTTCGTTACATAATTCATCATAATTAATCAATAAATAATACATTGTTGAAATTTGAGTTGATAATCTCTTTTCATTTTGAGGTTCATTCAAGTTTCTTTCTTCATATTCATCAAACATTATATTTAAAGTTTTAGATTTGGAATTTGAAATATCATTCCAATAAGTTTCATTCCAACTACAATCTAATTTTTTAAATCCTGGTAAACAGTTACATGTTTTAAATTGAGAATTATAAATTCCACCATTAAAACATGTTGTCAATTGAGATAGAGTTGGTAAATACCTTCTTGCCATACCATCCACTGTTAATAATACATAACCAAAAACTAATTTTCTTGGATCACCTACTGGGATTGATTTATAGAATGTATCCCAAGAAGATTTCTTCAATTGAATTTCTGTCCAATTTGTTACATTTGGTAGGAGAATAGTTTGTTTTAGTTCTAATTCTGTATATGAATTAGAATAAATATTCCTAGTAGTAAAGAAGAGTGAAAGAGATTCAGAACCAGTGAAAGGAAGTTGAATATCAATTTGAGAAGATTTACCTTCATTGAGAGGAATTTTGAGTCCAGTTATAAAATCTAGGAATGAAATTTGTAATATTGTATCACTTGTAATACAACTAGAGCATGAGATTGAAAATACAGTATCTAATGCATAACCAGTTAAAGGAGAAATAGAACAATTACATGGTTTAGGATTTAATGCAACATTAAAGTTATAAGAAAATGAATCAAAAACCATTGATGAAATGTGAGTGACTTTGAAAGTTAAAATGTTTGAACTTCCTTCAATCAATTTAGATATTAATAAATTCATTGAATTAGATTTTGAAATATCCTTAACAACTCCTGTCAAATAATTAGATGGTAAATCATCTCCATTCAATTGCCATTTTCTTTCAATTTCTGAATCAATTCCATCAAATTTGTCATTCAAACTCACAAGGAAATCCAATGATAGAATATCAAAAGTAGTTAATAATATTCTCTGAGGTGAAACATTCAATAAACTAATTTTTGGAATGTTTTCAAATATTCTTTCTGAAACTTTGTTATTACCAATTTGAAGAGTTATATCAACTTGTTTAAGTGACTGAGGTATTTCAAATAATGTTTCTTTAAATTGTACAACCCTTGTTAAAATATCAAGTAAAGATTGATCACATTGATGATTATCTTGAATACATGTAAAATTCCAATCAAACTTATTCAATAATATTGTTGATTCAATAGGAGTAATTTCTACATTCATAAGAACATGTTTGTTATCAAATATATTTGATTGATACATTATTATAGTATATTCAGGTTCCAAAGTGTGTAAAGTTATTTTCTCTGATGAAACTTTTCCAAAAATAGAAAGTATAACTTGAAATATATATTTGTTAGCCATAATATCAGAAAATGAATTAATCACCAAATCTCCATTGGATTTTACATTAAAATCAACTGATGGTCCTTCAATTTGTTTCCATTCATATTTAATTTGGGATGTGATTGTTTCACTTAAATCTGAAAGGTCTGTATATTTTTTAATGTAAATAGGACAATTCAATGAATTAACAATCATAGATTGTGTATCATCTGCTACTTTAACTTGTGGAGCTACAAATTCTTGTTTTGTAAAATTGTAAACAATGGGATGACTACATTTAGCAAAATAATTACAAACTTCAAGTTGAAGTGAATAATTACCAGATGGAATTTCATCATATTTAAATGAAATAATTGATGAACTATTATTAATGATTATTGGTTCAGGAGAATTGATAACATGCCAAATATAGATAATTTCATTGAAATTAATTAAAGAGCTAGTGCTAGAAGATGCATCAATTACAATATCATCCAAAGCACCAAAGTTATGTGTTACAGTTGATAATTTAGCAATTGGTGTTGCTGGATTATCAGGAGGTTGAATTGAAATGAATAAATATTCAGGTGGAGAATTTTCAAACACTCTCGTATTAATTTTTAGAGTATAATTATTATTATAAAAACTATAGATTTGTAATTCGAATAAGCCAGATGTCTTGTTCTTCCAGTGACAAATAGTTGGGAAAATTCCTTGTTCAGAAACTTGAACTAATTTGTTACAGTCAACTGAATCATTTCCATAATTAGATGGAGCTTTCAAATATAAAATTAATGAATTTCCATTATCAGAGAATCTAATAATTGAAGAAATACTCGTTAAACAATCCTCTCCATAATAAGTATCTTGACACATGTTACAATTTGTTCCATTCCAATAACCTTGAATAGAATTTGAATGACACAAACATTTTCCATCATCATCTGAACATTTCCCATGAGAAGAACATGTCACATTGTCATTACAATAAGTAGAACAATTTGTTCCATAATAATTTAGAGTACAAATTTCAAATTCACAATTACTTCCATTGTAAATAACAGTTGTTGACAATATTTCACATGAACAATTATTATGGGAAGAACAATTTCCTCTTCCAGAACAAACTTGATTATCTGTTGACAGTTTACCAAAACAAATAATTGAATCAAATGTCTGATTTTCACATTCATTACCATAATAAGAATATTGACATGAACAAATATTTGGAGAAATACAAGAACCATTTCCATTACAAACATTTAAATCTATACTTTCAATTCCAAAACAGTTAAATTGAGAACATTCATCACCATAATATCCATCATAACATGTACAATTATTTGGTATTTGACATTTTCCATTTCCAGAACAAACTGAACTGTTGTTAAATAAAATATCAAAACATGAATATAAATCACATGATTCACCAAAATAATCATCTACACATGAGCAGTTATTTGGATTTAGACAAGAACCATGAGTGGAACAAACTTGTGAAGAATTAAACAAATTTCCATAACATTGGAATAATTCACAATTATTTTCATTGTAACCTTCTTCACATGAGCAGTTATTTGGTGATACACATTCACCATGTTTTGAACAAACAGTATGATTATCAAATGGAACACCAAAACATTCATATAAATTACAACTATTTCCACTGTATCCATCTTTACATTTACATTCGTTTGGTTTAGAGCAATTTCCATGTTTTGAACAAACATTTGAAGAATTGAACAAATCTCCAAAACATTCAAATAATTCACAATCCAAACCATAATATCCATTCCTGCAATTACAATGATTTGGAGAAATACATTCACCAAATAATGAACAAACTTGTGAAGAATTAAACAAATTTCCATAACATTCAAATAATTCACATTCAAAACCAAAATATCCAAATTGACATGAACATTCATTTGGTGAAATACATAATCCATGTGATGAGCAAACTTTAGAAGAATTATAAACAAAACTAAAGCAATTGAATAATGAACAATTATTTCCATAATGTCCCAATTGACATGAACAATTATTTGGTGAAACACAACTTCCATTCTGAGAACAAACATTTGATGAATTAAACTCAATATCAAAACATTCAAATAATTCACAAGAATCTCCATGATAACCATTTTCACATGAACAATTATTTGGAGCAAGACATGAACCACTTCCAGTACAAACTGTGGAGGAATTGTATAATTGACCAAAACATTCATAATTTTCACAAACATTTCCATAATATCCTAATTGACATGAACAATTTTGTGAAGATTGACAAATGCCACGTCCAGAGCAAACAAGTGAATCATTTTTTAACAAACCACTACATTCATAAAATTGACATTCTTGTCCATAATAACCTGATTGACAAGAACAGTTTTGAGGAGTTGAACATTCTCCATGTTTCGAACACACTTGTGTGGAATTGTAAAGGTTTCCAAAACATTCGAATAATTCACATTCTTGTCCGTAATAACCATTCATACAAATGCAATTATTTGGAGAATTGCAATAACCATTGGAAGAGCAAATATTTGAATCGTTGAAAATCTTTTCATAACATTTGAATAATTCACAATTAGATCCATAATAACCAGTATCACATGTACAATTATTTGGAGAATTGCATACACCCTTTCCATAACAAACACTTGAACTATTAAACAAGTTTCCAAAACATTCAAAAAGTTCACAATTAATTCCATAATATCCTAATTGACATGAACAATTATTGAATGAAAGACATTGACCTTTTGATGAACAAACATGTGATGAATTGAATAAATTATCATAACATTGATATAAACTACAATCATATCCATAATAATTCTCATTACAAGTACAATTATTTGGTGATGAACAAATGCCATTCAATGAGCAAACATTTGACATGTTAAACATTTTACCATAACAGTCAAAAGCTTCACAATTTCTTCCATAATATGCATTTTTACAATTACAATTATCAGGTGATAAACAACTTCCATAACCTGAACAAACTGTCGAGTTATCAAATCTCAAATTAAAACAATCATAAAATTCACAATTATTTCCATAATGTCCAATTGAACATGAGCAATTATTTGGTGACAGACATGAACCAACTCCAGAACAAACACTTCCATTATTTCTATTTATCCCCAAACAATCAAATTCTGCACATTCATATCCATAAAAATTCATAGAACATGTGCAATTATTAAAAGCAGAACAATTTCCATGTCCATAACAAACATTTGATGAATTTTTGATAATTCCAAAACAATTATAAAGTTCACACGATATTCCATAGTATCCATTTTCACATGAACAATTATTTGGAGCAAGACATGAACCACTTCCAGTACAACCTTTTGAAGAATTGTATAATTGACCAAAACATTCATAATTTTCACAAACATTTCCATAATATCCTAATTGACATGAACAATTTTGTGAAGATTGACAAATGCCACGTCCAGAGCAAACAAATGAATCATTTTTTAACAAACCATTACATTCATAAAATTGACATTCTTCTCCATAATATCCAGATTGACAAGAACAGTTTTGAGGTGACAGACAAGAGCCACGATTGGAACAAACATGTGTGGAATTGTAAAGGTTTCCAAAACATTCGAATAATTCACAATTAGATCCATAATATCCTGATCGGCATGTACAATTATTTGGAGAATTGCATACACCCTTTCCAGAACAAACTTTTGAGGTATTGAACAGATTTCCATAACAAAAATGTGAATCACAATTAGCTCCATAATAACCTGATTTACATGTGCAATTATTTGAACTTTGACAAGATCCGTGCCCAGAACAAACACTTGAACTATTAAACAAGTTTCCATAACAATAAAAATCCTGACATACAACTCCATAATATCCTGATTGACATGTGCAATTATTTGGAGAGGAGCAAGTGCCTAATGATGAACAAACACTTGAATTACTCTTCTTTATCCCAAAACAATCAAAATCTTGACAATAACTTCCATAATAGTTTGTAAAACATGAACAATTATTTGGGGAAAGA